ATTATTATTTCATTTTATTATTTCCACCTGCATTATTATTATTATTATTATTATTATTGTATTTCAACTGAATTATTATCAACAATAATTTATTTTATTATTTCTACCTGATTTATTATTATTATTATTATTTCATTTTATTATTTCCACCTGCATTATTATTATTATTATTATTATTATTATTGTATTTCAACTGAATTATTATCAACAATAATTTATTTTATTATTTCTACCTGATTTATTATTATTGTTATTATTTCATTTTATTATTTCCACCTGCATTATTATTATTATTATTATTATTGTATTTCAACTGAATTATTATCAACAATAATTTATTTTATTATTTCTACCTGATTTATTATTATTATTATTATTTCATTTTATTATTTCCACCTGCATTATTATTATTATTATTATTATTATTATTGTATTTCAACTGAATTATTATCAACAATAATTTATTTTATTATTTCTACCTGATTTATTATTATTGTTATTATTTCATTTTATTATTTCCACCTGCATTATTATTATTATTATTATTATTGTATTTCAACTGAATTATTATCAACAATAATTTATTTTATTATTTCTACCTGATTTATTATTATTGTTATTATTTCATTTTATTATTTCCACCTGCATTATTATTATTATTATTATTATTATTATTGTATTTCAACTGAATTATTATCAACAATAATTTATTTTATTATTTCTACCTGATTTATTATTATTATTATTATCATCAGCATTGGATTATTTTGATCTCAAATAATAATAATAGTAATAGTAATAGTAATAGTAATAGTAGTAGTAGTAGTAATAGTAATAATAACAATAAACTTTTCCCATCCTTGTTTTCCTGGGCTTGTTGAAAAAGGAGCGCGGCCCCTTTAAGGCCGAGCTGTCAAGGCGGCCAGGCGGAAGCGAGCGCGGCGCGGTTGCCGGGGCGACGGGGGGCGGTGACTCCGCAAAGGGCCGCCTCTCCTTCCGATTGGCCGGGCGGCGGGGTCACGTGACGCCTGGCGAGCGTTCGATCCAGTCTTGGGCCGGCGAGGGCGGAAGCGGCAGCAGAGGCATCCTCGGCGGGTGAGTCCGGCAGGGGGGCGTGGCTTCGTGACGTCACGGGTCACCCCTATTCTCGCAAGTGGAATCGCCCGTCCCTTCGCGCGCTGCACGGCGAGGGCGATTCCATTCCGGGGAAATAGGGGGGAGGCACCAAAAGGCAGCCCGGAAAGTTGCTTTTTCCCGGGGAAATCAGGCCTTCCCAAGCCTTCCAAGGAATTTTTTCAGTGGGATTACAGTTCCTATCATCCACATAAACGCTTTGGGCCCGGGATTATGGTTAATATATGGTTAATAACCCTTCCCTTCTTTCCTGCTGGATGGGGAGAGCTTGGGAAGAGGAGCTCTCTCCAAAACTTTTCTCCTCCCAAAAAAGTAACTCCAACAGGTGGTCAAGCAGAACTCCAATGCATTCCTATGGCCTGGAAATGGGGGGGCATTTGTTCATTTTAATTCATTTTTTAATTGTTTTTAGGTTTTTATGTGTTTATTTTAATTTAAATTAATTGTAAACAACTCATGTTAATTGTCTTTAGGAGTGATGCATTTAGTTTGACTTTAATTCTTTTTAAATATATATATTTCAGTTGTTGTTTTTTTTTTTGGTTATTGTGCATTTATTTAATTTTAATTCATTTTTTAAAAACTTATTTCAATTGTATTTATATTTATTTTAATTAATTGTAAACAACTCAGGTCAATTGTCTCTAGGAGGTGATGCATTTAATTTCATTTTATTCCATCTTTTAAAAACCTGTTTCAGTTGTTTTTAGATTATTATGCATTTAATTTAATTTCAATTCATTTTTTAAAAACCTATTTCAATTGTATTTATTTTAATTTTAATTAATTAAAATTAATTAAACAACTCGTGTCAATTGTCTTTAGGCGGTGATGCATTTAATTGGATTTTAATTATTTTTTTAAAAAAACCTGTTTCAATTGTTTGTTTGTTTTAGTTATTGTGCATTTAATTTAATTTTAATTCATTTTTAAAATTGTATTTATTTTTATTTTTATTAATTGTAAACAACTCAGGTCAATTATCTTTAGACAGTGATGCATTTAATTTGATTTTAATTCTTTTAATATATATATATATATATATATATATATATATCAGTTGTTTTTTGGTTATTGTGTATTTAGTTTAATTTTAATTCATTTTTTTTAAAAACATATTTCAATTGTATTTAAATTAATTTAAATTAATTGTAAACAACTCATGTCAATTGTCTGGCGATGCATTTAATTTAATTTAATTTTAAAAGCTGGATTAAATCTTTTAAAAACCTGTTTCAGTTATTTTTAAATTATTGTGTATTTAATTTAATTTTAATTCATTTTTTAAAAACCTGTTTCAATTGTATTTATTTTTATTTAAATTAATTAAAATTAATTTAACAAATCACATCAATTGTCTTTAGGTGGTGATGTATTAAATTTGATTTCAATTATTCTAAATATATATATTTCAGTTGTGTTTTTTTGTTATTGTGAATTTAATTTAATTTTAATTCATTTTTAAAAACCTATTTCAATTGTATTTATTTTAATTTAAATTAAATTAATTTAATTTAAACCTATTTCAATTGCATTTATTTTTATTTTTATTAATTTAATTTAATTTAAATCTATTTCAATTGTATTTATTTTTATTTTATTAATTTAATTTAAACCTATTTCAATTGTATTTATTTTTATTTTTATTAATTGTAAATTGTCTTTAGGCAGTGATGCGTTTAATTTGATTTTAATTCTTTTAAAAAATATATATTTCAGTTGGTTTTTTTTGTTATTATGTATTTAATTTAATTTTAATTCATTTTTTTTAAAAGTATTTCAGTTGTATTTATTTTCATTTAAATTAATTGTAAACATCTCATGTCAATTGTCTTTAAATGGTAAGGCATTTAATTTAATTTTAATCCATCTTTTAAAAACCTGTTTCTGTTATTTTTAGATTTAATTTTAACTCATTTTTTTTTAAAAAAACTGTTTAATTTAATTGACGTTAATTGTAAACAACTCAGGTCAATTGTCTCTAGGAGGTGATGCATTTGATTTCATTTTATTCCATCTTTTAAAAACCTGTTTCAGTTATTTTTAGATTATTATGCATTTAATTTAATTTTAATTTATTTTTAAAAAACATATTTCAATTGTATTTATTTTAATTTACATTAATTGTAAATAACTTGTGTCAATAGTTTTTAGACGGTGATGCATTTAATTTGATTTTAATCCCTCTTTTAAAAACCTCTTTCAGTTATTTTTAGATCATTATGTATTTAATTTAATTTTAATTCATTTTTTAAAAATACATTCCAATTGTCTTTAGATGGAAATGCATTTAATTTTAATTACAAACACACACACACATAAATATATATATATATTGATGAGATATATTGATGAGCTTTCCTATTTACAATACATCCCAATTGTATGTTGATGCATTTTTAGACTACACAGAGAAGCCATTGAAATGCACAAGAGGCATGTGGACAATTTCAACAGAAAGGAGGAAACCATGAAAATGAACAAAATCTGGCTACCAGTATTAAAAAACTCAAAAATTACAACAGCAAAACAACAGAGAGTAAACAATCAGGCACATCAAATCACCCTCAACAAAAGATTCCCCCAGGCACTTCCAAGCCATTAAATGCTAATCAAGGTGGTCAGTTGAAACATTCACACCTAGCTCCAGCAGACAAGAGTCCTTTGTCCCACCCTGGTCATTCCACAGATATATAAACCCTTTTTCCTAGTTCCAACAGACCTCACTACCTCTGAGGATGCTTGTCATAGATGCAGGCGAAACGTCAGGAGAGAATGCCTCTAGACCATGGCCATATAGCCCAAAAAAACCCTACAACAACCCAGTGATTCCGGCCATGAAACTCACATTTATTGTTTTTGCTGTTCTTCGTCATTATTATTGTTATTTATTTATTTATTTATTTATTATTATTATTATTTCTGTGTTGATTTCTCTTTCTCAAAAAACTCTCAAAATATTATTATTATTATTATTATTATTATTATTATTATTATTTCTATGCTGCTTTTTTCTCAAAAGACACTAAACAGAAAAGTTGTATATGTAAATATTTTGGATTTTGGAATATCTGGATTTGCATATATCTGCATAATTAGGTGTTTTGAAGGTAGGATTGAAATTTAAATGTGGAATTATGTTATGTATATGCAGAGGCGGCCCTAGGTAATTTTCAATGGTAAGCAAACAGTATTTTGGCGCCCCCCCCCCCCCTCAACCAATCATTGATATATATTTTCTGTTTGTCGTGGGAGTTCTGTGTGCCATATTTGGTTCAATTCCATCATTGGTGGAGTTCAGAATGCTCTTTGATTGTAGGTGAACTATACATCCCAGTAACTACACTTGCCGCACTTGCTCCCTTGCCTGGCCCGCTTTGGGTCCGGAGGCGTGCCTGAAGACCCCGGCGTGTGCACAAAAAGTCACCTCTTCTCCTGACTTTCTCCTCAGCCATTGGGACCAAGAGAGAGAGAGAGAGAGAGAGAGAGAGGTGGAGATGCCCACCTTTCCTGAAGGTAGGCGCAAAAACAAAGGAGGGAGCGGAGGTGGGAGATACCTCCAGCTGGAGGGGCTCTCTCTCTCTCTCTCTCTCTCTCTCTCTTGGTCCCAATGGCTGAAGAGAAAGTCAGGAGAAGAGGCGACTTTTGGTGCGCACGCTGGGGTCTTCAGACACGCCTCTGGACCCGAAATGGGCCAGGCACGGCGGCTCCGCCCCTTGGCCCACCCACGGATTGGGGAGAGGAGAGGAGGCGGGTGGAGCGCCGGGGGATTGGGAAAGGGAGCCGGTCATGGGGAAGGGATCGAACGCGGAGAACGATTGAGCGCCGGCTCTGCTCGCGCACCCGGTGGCCGGGTGAGCAGGAACAAGAGGGGCTAGGCGAGGCTCAAGGGCCCGGCCCCTTTGGGAAGAGGATCGCCCGGCAGCGAGGCAAGAAAGCCGAGGCTCCCCCCGGACTGCTAGGGCTGTTGTGAGCTGAGGGGGGGCTCCTCAAGTGGCGGTCGAGGGGCATTTACAGAGGCGCCTCTGCGCCCCTGGCAAAAAAAAGTGTTCTGCGACCGCTTACTTCGCGTAATGGACGAGCCGCCCCTGTGTATATGTGTGTGTGTGTGTGTGTGTGTACATATATGTATATATAAGCACACACAAACTAACCATGAAATTTAGGTTATACTAGCCGTCCCCACTCTCTGTATCTGTGTTTTGTGTGCGTATATGTGTGTGTATGTATTTGTGTATATGTGTATATATGTGTGTTTGTGTTTATATATATAGTTTTCTACATGCGTTGTAATGTATTTTCTATTTTTTGACTTTTTAAATCTCTTGGCCTGATAAGTGTATTGTGTCCAAATTTGGAATCAATTAGTCCAGTGTTTTTTGAGTTAAGTTAATCTCACAAACGAACATTACATTTTTATTTATATAGATATACACATTGTGTGTTTACATATAGACAACAATACACATTGCAGTGCATTTAATTTAATTTCTATGGTACACACACATAATATATTATTATATCAGTTAATATACATTGTAATGCATTTAATTTTATTTTAATTAATTGTACATACACATAGTATATTATACCGCTTAATACACATTGTAGTGCATTTAATTTAATATTAATTAATGGTATACACACATAATATAGTCAATACACACTGCAATGCATTTAATTTAATTTTAGTTAATGGTACACGCACATAATATAATATTATATCAGTTAATACACATTGTAATGCATTTAATTTAATTTTAATTAATGGTATACACACATAATATAGTTAATACACACTTTAATGCATTTAATTTAATTTTAATTAATGGTACACACATAATATAGTTAATACACATTGTAATGCAATTAAATTAATTTAATTTTAATTAATGGTACACACACATAATATAGTTAATACACACTTTAATGCATTTAATTTAATTAATGGTACACACACA